CGGATGTGCGGTCGATATCGCGGGACCGTGAGTACACTGCAACCCCCCTTTTACGCTGAAACCACTGCGGGCACAATGCAATACCCGAAAATCATCATTTCCGGCCAAATAAACCGGCCGGGCGAAAGTACGTAGCCCAAGAGTTTCAAATTAAAATGTCCAGCCGGTCGTGGATGCGTGTACACACGTGTAAATGTATACAGGTGGAGCCTTCATTACATCTCACTTCATTACAAAGTGAAGCGCAGCGTATCACTCGGTAGTATTTACTGGAGTTACACGCAAAATCAAAGCTGCCTTTGAGCAGGGGATCCCAATGGGTTGTATTTGACCGACATCGACTCATTGGTTCGTGCGTGCGGCGATATGTTTGCACGACAGGCTGCATGTACGTTTAGACCAGGGAATTAATATATATTTTTAAAAATAATAATTTTATACATCCAACAAGTAGCTGTGCACCTTTTTTTCGTTTTTACTGTACAAACGCGTTCGCAGAAAAATGAACTGTGTGAACAATTCATGTCAAAGGATATAGGTGGACAACTGTGTCTCCTGTATCGTTCAGTTTAATTAAAATCTCGTCTTTTGTACCGTTAAATTAATTACATCAGTTGACAATCGTTGGTCGAAAGGATGTATCATCACGAGAAAGAAGGAAAAAAGAACATAAATCCAAACTACATGTAAAGAAGTCAACATCCGCGAATACAAGCAGCCTTTGACCAAATATTCGCTCGAGCGCAAAGACAGCTTTTCTCGGACGTGAAATATAAATCATTGGCAAGCGAAAGAAGAAAAAGTGTGTGGCCCAGACGGGCAACACGAGGCTGAGAAACCACGCGAACAAGAGTCGCTACACGCGATTTTTTTTTTTTTTTCCCTGTAGAAAGGAAGAAGGAGAAAATCTGCATGAGCTCGCGCGTGTGGCCGTATCACGTCTTAGCCAACGAGGTTCGATAATGTTACAACAGTGAAAAGGTAAATCGTGCACAAGAGAGAGCCTATACCTGCGTTTCATAAATTTGATACCGAACGAGCGTGCATGTTGAAAATCACACCGAATATCGGTGATGGTATGTTTGAAGAACAGATAACGTGCAAAGTGAGTGTGTATACTTTACCAAAGTTCAAAGTAGTCGCGAGGGCAAAGTCCTTGTTTTACCTGAAACAGAAAAAGGTCCAAACAAAATTAGAATTTACAAATGGGCTAAATTCATGAAAATTCAACATTTAGAGGACGCGAGTAAGTATACACATTTGGTAGATTATATAGGCAATAGACTAAAGATTTTCGCAGTGCACGGGGTATAAACAGGATGGAAAGGGGCAGTGTTGTTGTGAGTCTACATCGACCGTACGATGTAAAGGCAATATAAAATGTAGGAAACGCAGTAACGGATGATGGAATTTCTTTTAATTTCCAAACCAGAGCAGTCAAGCCGCCATAGATTAAATTAAAAAAAAAAAAAACCCTGCTTTCTTTTATGCTAATGCAATTAATAGCAAAACCTAAAGACTCGTAGAGCACGAAAATTTTACGATCCTGCACCTGATATATACGTAGCTATGCACTATACATGGTATAGCAGCAATACATCTAAATTAAAAGACACGCGACGAACAAGATTCGTTTATTTTGATATGCGCCCACGTCTCGCGCGCGTGTGTATTATAGGCAGGTTGTGCGGTAGCAATAGGAGAAAGCTCCGATGACTCGCGTCGATAATTTAAACGGTGATAGATCGAGCTGCGGCCGCGTGTAAAATGCACTAGCTCCATACCAGACTCTACTTCTTCCAAGAGTGAAAAAATGCATGTCGTTTCCAATGCAAGGGGAAATGTTACGTGTACGTGCGCGCGACACTGCAACCCAGAGAGATCCGGAGCTGGATACTGTTTCGATGAAGCTTTTTTTTCACACTAGTCGATTTTTTTTTGCTGAATTTCGTGCAACATTCGCTGCCACCTTTTGACAATTAACTACCTAATCTCAACAAATACTGTTTTACTTGTATGCGTATACCGATACGTTTCAGTTTCAGACAAAATTTATATGTCGGTGGTATAAAAACTTATCTGCGAAAACAAAAACATTTCAAGACAAAAGGTAAAATCACGAGTACCTAATCAGCCAGGTTTATACCATTTAAGAAAAAAAAGGCTCCATTGACGATCAACTTTATAGAAAAATCTTTTTTTTTTTTTTGCCATCATTCAGGTCCCAGAGCAGGTCTCGATACACGCGCTTTTGTTTTTAGATCGTCTCGTTATTCAGAGAATAGGGGGGAAACAAAAAAGAGACAACAACCCCTTTATACTTGGACGCACCAGCGCAACTATCGGAATAGCACAGCAGCTCCACGCGCCGCCAGCAACTATGCAAAAGCACGTGGAGGCGCGAGAAAATCTCCTCCAGGTCGGGGGGTGTTTCTTCCTCGAGCGAATTTTATTTCGAGAGTATACAACCACCACGTTGATATTTTTCATTTGTCCCAAGCTGCCGTTGCGTGCACTGGTCACAAAAGGTTGGATGTTAGGGGGATTTTTCCTGAAACGGCACATTGAACCCTGTATTTTAAAAGATGCCGCGCGGAAAACCATCAACGTGAGCAGTTTTAGGCGTTGCTGGTCATCATTGGCATAAAAACGATCAAATTGAATTTTTTTTCTTCGTTTGCGACGGCCGTTCCAACTTTGCGCCAGTAGTCACAGCCGCGATCGATCAGACAAACGAATGAAAAGACCACCCGCGCAGGACTACATAATTAATTTAGCCGACTCAATTAATCGATTTCCCAGTTGTACGGCAATCAATTAGCCGAGCGAAAAACAAAAACAAAAATAAACGGTGAAAACGCAGTGCGTACACCGCGGCGGCGGTGGCGGTAGTAAGTAGTCACAGCCGAGTATGGCCAGACACGCGACCGAAAGATTATTTTCCAAACGCGCGTTCGGTGTGATTACTGTGTGCGCTCTCCACGTGCGTTGTTGCGCAATTTTATTTTATTTTTTGCTACTTTTTCCAAATTGCTCATAATGGCTGTACACACACGCGTGTACATTTATTGCACGTGTTTCACATTAGGTTGCGCAAGAGATAATAATGATGTTTGCCCGCGTTGCGCAAGAAAATAATATATATCGAAGCGGATTATGGTGTCATTACAGTCGTCATTGCACTAATGTACGAGACGTGGTGGATCGATGGGGTTCGCCGTTAGATTTAGAAACTCGTTAACGACGGGCAATACGACATTTCTCGCACCCCAAACGCGTTATTGGAAGATGAAAATCGAGAAAAATGTCCTCATCTCTTTTTTTTACGGCAAACACTTTGTTTCAAGTATTTGAATCTAAAATGGAAGAGAAAAAAAAAGATCCAACATATCGATAGCCCAACTTTTATCCCTCCCTCAACCGTAAAACAAGGTTGGCAATTGCGATGAAAAGTATACAAGTATAGGCGCGTGGAGAAACTCGAGAAAACCCACGCAGAGCCAACGTACGTGTAATACCAAGGTACACAGTCCAGGGAGCATAGGTATAAGTATTCACGTGCAACCAAAAACAAAGGAGACTCTCTCGAAACAAGTATATGTACACATTGCAACAAAAGAAGAACAACTCGGCTGTATGTACGTGCACACACGAGCGCGGGAGGGGAAAAAGTTGGAGGAAATAAAAATTGGCTCTGAAACCTAGAGTAATACCTATACGTGTTTATAGTGGCTCTATCGAGGGGTATTATAATATACCATATATGCTCGCGTGTAAATCTAAATACACACGTAGGTACAAGGTATACATGTAAATGCAGGAAGAGAAGGAACATGAAGAGCGAGAGAGACTAGACAAGTGCATCATATCGGTATACATGCAAGCACACATGTATATATCTGCGCGTCCATCGCACACGTAGCTCCGAAGAGGTTCAAGAGAGAGAGAGAGAGAGAGAGCAACTTGCCCCAGAACGTACACGGTTCCTCGGGGCCCTACACGGCGAGGGTACACGCCTCTTTCTTTGGCGGAGAGGGGAAGGAAGGACTCGCCAGAGCCCAGGGCAGAATCTGCACCTCCTCTCGCTACGGGGTCCCACCGCCGTATCCGCGCGATCGTTATAGAGCCGGAGAGGCGCTCCTCACCGTATACGTATGTATATATGCATTTTCAGCGCATTATCTCTCGGCATCGCGCATGTGTATACGTGTCGCTCTTTTCTTTTTTTTTTTCGCTCTCGTTCTCTGGTGCGTTCGTTCGACGATATTACGTGATTGTCGATTGATCTTTGTTGCATCATTGGGCTGGGTCTCCACTTTTTTTTCCCCCATGGGATGGAACTCGTGACTCTAAAGAGCTGAATACGATAACGTACAACCCTAATGTAAACGATAAAATTACAGAGTTTGGGACAAATCTAACGAAAACTTTAGTAGGTATCAGTTACAAGTTAAATATACACACACAATTTACGTGCCATCTCGTAGAGTAGCCGTGCTTGCAACAATTTAAATGAGCCCATGAATTTCTACCACGAGAAATTGTTGGCTTGTTCATTTTTGCCTCCCCATTCACTGTTTGAGAATGGACGCGCGCGCACGCAAACTCTTGCTGGGCCGCAGTATTATTTTATGCATACACACTCGTTATTTTTCAAGTTTCAATAGAGGAGTTGAATTATTATTATTACTGTGGTTTCCGAGCGAACACGGGTCTATTGTTTACAAAAAGTCGTTACGTACATTTGATTCGTTAACTATTATTTATGTTTATGCGTTATAACATGAAAACCACGAGCCAATATATCATTATTATCGAATGTTGGTAGAAAAATTAAAAAAAAAAAAAAGAATGAGGCATTCACCTAAAACGATGATGACGTTGATAACATGAATAAAGACGATGAACGTGCAGGGCAAATAAACGGTAACTTTGATTGCAGGCGGAAATGTGAGGCCGACGGGAAGGATGCGAAGGCAGAGCTCACGGCGCAGCGCAATATGTTCCCCAGCGCTCAAATTAAAATGAGGTTGGTATCATCAACGTGGTATTTACAGCGGCACCTCGCGCCCGCCAAATGTTTACCGAAAACCCATCAAAATTGCCCGTCTCCGCTACGTACAACATATATTATTCCCGAGACGACGCTTTTTGTTGGGCTTTCATTCCTTTGACTGCTAAAACATGCACACATATTAAATAAGCAATGTTGGGACATTTTTTAAATTAAAAAAAAAAAATGGGAGGGAGAAGCAGCCAAACATTATGGTGAGTCGATGATCTAATGGCGCCCTAATGCGAAAAGTATTTCTGTCAGATTGATGTCGCCAAGCAGCTCGCCGGCCACGTCACCCACGATGTCGAACTCGTCGTCGCCGACGCCACCGACCCCGGCTGCCTCGGCCTACAGTCAAAAGATGACCGGCATACCCTGCGTCGCGGCGGCCTCGCGCTACACCGCACCCGTGCACATAGACGTCGGCGGCACCATCTACACCTCCTCCCTCGAGACCCTCACCAAGTGAGTATCGTTTTTATACACTTAAACACCCATCTATGCTAGAAACGCAACACATGACAGATTTTTTTTTTTTTTTTTTTTCACCTTACAATCGAACCAAATTTTTCTCACCAATTTTCAGCCACGGTACAGATAATCATTAAAAAAAGCAAATAAAAAAAATCCAATCTTTTTTCCTAGTGTGCCCAAAAAAAAAAAAAAAGGGGGGGAACAGACGCGACTGACGGGAACGAAGAACTTATCTCGCAGAATGCAAAAGAATGCCCTCGGAGCGCGGGAGGAAGGAATAAAAGGAGGAAAAAGGCAAACAACCTCGTTACCTCCCGCCCCTTCGTCCCTCGTACGTGTACACACGTGTATAGGCACGCATTATCCCGCGATCGGAGGAGAAGAGCGAGGATAAGACAGCCGGAAGGTAATCGCGACCGCGTGGATCGAGTATATATATATATATATATATATATATATATATATGTGTCATTACAGTCGTC